ATTTTGGCACAATGTAGTAGTTGAACAGGAATGCATACAAACATGATGTTTTCTTTCACTTGGGTGCTATATCAGGAGGAATGCTTACAAAGGCTACAAAGCCGTATTGATGTTGTATATGATGGTTCAATCCCTGAACATCAGGTACACTTCTTGGTTAGATATCTGTTAACCTTTAAGAGTAGTTGTGGTATAAGGTATTGATAGACTACTGTCTGGATTTCGAATTAGCGCTGTCATCTCATTAATATTTATAATTGCTCTATTATTATAGGAAGCTTTGAGGACATTGTGGAATGTTGCCTTTCCTGAAGAAGAACTTTGTGATTTAATATCTGAACAGTGGAAGGAAATGGGTTGGCAGGGAAAGGATCCATCCACAGATTTTAGGTAGCCTAGTATTTCCTCTATTTCCTTGAGTGAATTTTTTCTTGTGCTCAGATTTTCTTTCTTCTCTTTTATACTCAACATAAGGTTTTCTGTTGTAGGGGTGGTGGTTTTATATCACTCGAGAATTTGCTGTATTTTGCTACGAATTTTCCGGTATGTCTAATTCTCCACTACTCTCTCTCTCTCTCTCCCTCCCTCCCCCCCCCCCCCCTTTCTCTATTCATTTACACACACACACACGCACATATCCCATGGCAAAGTGAATTTAGTTTGTCTTGGTATCAACTTTGATTTTTTATTACATTGGACGACCATGCTGGTCTTCCTGTACAAAATGGATAATAGTTATTCTGTGACGGCACTTAAATTCATTGTGTTTCCCTTTTCTTAGGGCCAGCAGCATGCTAGCTGACCATCAAGCATTGGTGGTAAATGCAAATATATGATTTGAGTGCTGCGCTTTAGAACTACGAGATAGCTTGATGATAACTGTGCATGGGATACCATCAAAGTAAGACTAATGGAATTTATTTGCTTGTCATAGTCAGGGGCATGTACGATTTAAGCCTGGTTGAGCCTCAATTCAGCATCATTTGTTTATGTATTAGGGCCGAAATTCTGTATTGATCAACTAGGAACTACGCTCTTTAGGGAGGGAAAATTATGATTAATTCGTCATAGGAAGTGAGAATTCATTCCACTGAATGAATAACGTTGCAGACGTGCAATGTTGAAACTCGTTAGTGTTTAATGCTCTTTATTATTAATACTCCACTAGATAAATACATTGATTAAAACTAATACAGTAAAATGATAGTAGTGGGTAGAGTCAACCATACAGTTGACTGTTAATTCAAAGCATATTGGTTTATCAGCAAGGCTCTGGAAAACCTTTTAGCTATTAGGTATTTTCCTCTTTTGTGTTTCTTGTTGCTTTGGGCCAAATCTTGCATCTGTCTTAATGTAATCTGTCATATCAAAGGAAGATATTATTCCTATGCCTAGCTCCTTCGAATTTCACTTTTTTGATACAGAGCTCTTATGCAAATACTTCTATGCCCTATTTGAAGTGAATAATTGGAAACTAAGAGCAAATCATGTTAGGAGACTTGCATCAAAAAGATTATTTTCTCAGTTTTTCTATTCTCCTCTGCTTAAAATTTCTAATAGCATAAAGATATCATTGGATGACTTTTTTTAATTAAGTGTTGCTGTTTTGTGTCATTTATAATTTGTGCACACACATTTGTGGGACCTTGTGTCTGGTTCCACAAATGCTGCATGCACTACTGTCTCCCCCCCCCCCTCTAAATTGGGCGTATTTGTGAGTATGTGTTTCCCTTTTCCACCCTAATATTTGTTTTTTGGGAAATTAACTTTCTGAGACTCTGGTATTAATGTTTGTTCCTCCTAAATTGACCAAATAACTTTGCAGAAATCCTTCCAAGATCTTCTGCGAAAGGAGGAAGGTGATCGGTCCATCTGGGAATATCCATTTGCTGTTGCTGGTGTTAACATCACATTCATGCTTATTCAGATGCTTGATCTCGAAGCAGGTTTTATAATATTCATTTCTTTCTTGATATGATGTTTGAGCAATCACTTTTAAACTACAACACCTGATATTTAAATTCTTTAATTTTTAATTTTTCGTTCTCTGCCTACCAGTACGAAACTCTTTATTCTCTATGATTTGGTCTCTGTAGTTCTTGGTGTAACTTCCTTAAATCCCTTGTATCTATCATTGCTATTGCACCTACAGAACTTGATTAATAGCAGGCTTTTTGGACTTCCTAGTAGATTGTCATCTTCGTCAATTTAAAGAACAACTTAGATGAGTTTGTATAGTACACATCCTATGATATCAAATATCTCAACATAGTACATACAAACTGTTGTACATGGTGTGCCCACATTGAATTTTTTTGACTTTTTCTAAACATAAATGGTTGTAGGATCACAGGAACACATTTTATGCTTTTCATCAGCTAATTCTGAGCTTCAACTCTGCAGTAAAACCACGAACAATGGTAGGAGCGACCTTCTTGAAGTTTCTTGCAGGTACTATTTAGCAACAATTTGAGATCCATAACATTTTCATGTAAATGTGAATGAGTTATAGATTATTTATTAAAGTATAATATACAAACACAAATTGCCATAAGCTTACTAGATTTTTTTTAGTCCAAGTTTGTTTGTGGGTTCGACTGTATCATATGAGTTGAATCCTTAATGATGCCAATCACTTGTTCCATTTATTTGCGGACTCTCTTGGATTGTTTTATATACTTACGTTCTGAATAAAACTTCTCTTTTTGCCTGTCAGAAAATGAATCAGCATTTGACCTTCTATATTGCATCACATTCAAGCTGATGGACAAACAATGGCTTGCCATGCGCGCATCTTACATGGACTTCAATGTATGTATTCTTCCATCACAAGGATACTTGTCAGAAAGAAATAGCTACAAATTTTGGATTACATCTATGAATGAATTTTGTTTTCTTTATTTTGCTGTTATCTTCATTGGCATTCAAAGAGATGTTAGAATTTTGCATTCTGCTTTTATACATGAGAACCCGTAGACACAGTAACCCTTAAATGTCAAAATCGTGATTGAATTGGGAATTGGTTATGGTATATGCTGATAATATGGGGGTTTGAATGTTGTTGAATCGCCACTAAAAATGATCATCCCTATTTTTCAAATGATTCGGATTTTTTGTTTCGAATGTTCACCTTCTAATAAGATTTGTCATACTGACTTGCAAACCCCATTATACTCTCAATCGCATTCATTTGCCTAAGTTGGTTTCTTCATTTTTTTTTTTTTTTATTTCGATGTCTTATTTTGGAATTTCCTGCAGACGGTGATGAAATCTACTCGTCGTCAACTGGAAAGGGAGCTTCTGCAAGATGAAATACGGCTTGAAGATTTGCCATCATACAGCCTTCTTAGTCGGTAATATAGTACTAGTAACAATTAGCAGAAGACTGGCTTCCATAAGCATGATTCAGGTTGTCAACAACGTATGCGTTGTCTGCTCTCTCTCTCTCTCTCTCTCTTTCTCCTTTTTTAGTTCTACAGATACTTCTGATTTCTTGGTGTTTGTTCGTCCATGATATGATGGTTTCCGACATAACCTTTTCAGAAATCTTGGAAATCTTGCAGCCATGTTTTCGATTGTGATTTGATTTCGAAAAGAAAAAGAAAGAGGGTTGAGTTCTTTGACTTTGTAATGTGAAAATGGGGACCTACTGTGGATTTGTTGAGGTTTGAAAGAACAAAGTGTTTCTTGGTAGTTCCTTGGGCTAGATGACAAGTGATTTATCCTTCAAGAATATTTTAATCCCGACATGGATGACTAGTTTTTGATTAGGCTGGAGAGTAGATTAGTAGATGTACACGTAAATTGATCTAAACATTTCTAACCGTTGAACCAAAAAAAATTTTTTTTGCATGATCTCAGCTCTGCCGGTAGGTTAAATTTGTCACTTGATGGCAAGAGTGTACATATTTTGTCCTCTTATTTGAACTAGTCGGAATGGTAAAATTTATAGAAGGCAAAAAGACAAACCATTCTAACCTATCGGAATTATGGAAGGTAGTTATTTAGTTTCTCGCATTACAAAAATACTATCTTCTATAAATTACGTAGTTTGTTCTCTTGAACATTTCTTTTATGAATAAATTTCGGGAAGCCATAATACGTGTCTTATACTGTATTGAGCACCTAAAATGTTTATAAATGAAGCCATTTTACCGATATAAACAAATTAAAAAAAAGAAGTTTAAAAGAAAAAGAAAGTGGCCCAAGTAATAAGTTTCCCAAAGAAAAAGCAAAGAATCACTGCCCTTTCTTTTATGTCCTTTACACCTACTTGATTCTCACAAAACTCCCATGGACTGTGGTCGCATTGTTTTCGCCATAATTGGCTTCTCTGCATCATTCTTCCTATATTTTCCAAGCTTCAAGAGAAGACTCCAAAGCAAACAAATTATCACAACACATAAATTGAAGATCATAAATGAAGCCTTGGAAATTGCTGAAGAAAGAGTCGTGAGGTATGAAGAGAGGCACGATCGCATTCTTAGTCAAATCTCATCGTACTACCTTGTGAATCAGGAACTGCAAGATGCGTTGTTTGGCGCTCGAGAAGCCATGAATGAAGCTTTAGAGTTTGTTGTTGGTCTAAGAAGATTGAAGATGGAGATCATAAGCTCATATCCAGGTGAAGTTGATGTTTCCATGTTGGATAGGTTCCTTGGAAAGCACAAGCAGGACAAGGAATAATTAAGAGGCTTGGCCATGAAGTGAAAAGGAATCACTAGACATATGTTTTCAGGAAGAGTTATGATCCTTTCAATGTGAAAAATTTAGTCTCGAGTGGTAAAGAATTGCACTGTATAGAGTAACTGCTGCTTCTTCTTCTTGCTTTTTTTATTTATTTTTTATTTTTTAGGTTTTTAATTATTTAATAACTAAGAATCTCTCTAAGGTAAAGTCACATTGAACACATCCATGCAATGTACACAACAGATATTTGCAATCACCCATGAGTCATATTGCTTTTGACCTTCTCTTTGCATGACTTAGTATAACAATATGGAATTTCTTCAACGTGTTGACCCTTTTCGTGCTTATCCATCAAACAATTGATTTGCACAACCTTCAATCTACAAAATTCTCGGTGATCTTAATAGAATATTGTAATGATATGCTAATTATGGATATTATGTCACTTTAGTTCGTATTCTTCCAATTTTCTCACATCCGTTTTTAAGTTTCTTGATGTAACTTTGGTTTAATAGAAAATAATAGTTTAAAATAAGCAACGAAAGTGGTTGGATAGTTAGTACGAGTGGACTAAGATAACATGAATTAAAAACTTGATGGCTTAAAGTAATAAGGTAAATTATAATTGGTCTATAAATTTTATTTTTAGTTTTACTTTGGGATTTGAATTTTTGAGATTCTCTCAATTAAATCCTTCTGTCTATCTCCACTATTAGATTAATGTTAAAATGTTTCAGATTAAACTAGTTTCTAGTTGATATAATAGTGAAAATTGAAGGAGAAATTTAATTAAAACAAAAATTTATAGTTAAAAGATTAAATTGGGACAATTGAAAATTGAGACACTAATAGTTGTTTAACTATATTTAATCATATTTAAAATCCAAGAGTTGTGCAGTCTCTGAAAAATCGAAAATTTATGAACATCCAAAAAGTAAAAAAGGGTTTAAAAAAAAAAGGACAGAAGAAAATTTTGGGGGTTCTTTTAGAATAAGAATTATGGAAGGGGATCTTTTAGTAATTTTGTAGCCTACAAAATATCCTCCACCTAGACTTATCCAAAAAAATACATCGAACCAGAACCCTGCCCTGTGGCGCGTATTGGCCACCGGTCCCTTTCGGAACCGCTTTTGAAACGTTGATTCCAAAGAATTCTCAAAACCCAGAACCCAGAATCAAGAAGATGTTACTCCAACCCATCACCACCTCAAAGACTCCTCTTCACCACCACAGCCACCACCATGTTTCTCTCTCTTACTCCCTCTCATTCCGTTCTGGGTTATCCAGTTCTTCACTTATTAGGCCCATCACAAGCCAAAGAAATCCGGGTATTACATGTTCTATATCACAGGCTTATAGCTATGGAACACTTGATTATGAGAGGAGGCCAGTAATGAAATGGAACACTGTGTACAAGAGAATATCTATGATGCAGAACCTAGAAATGGGTCCGGCGGGTGTGTTGAATCAGTGTGAGAATGAGGGCAAGAAGTTAACGAAATGGGAGCTTTCTAGGGTTGTTAAGGAGTTGAGGAAGTTCAGGCGTTTCAAGCTTGCTCTTGAGGTATATACATAAACATCGATTGTTTTTTTGTTGTCTTGGTTGTGTTTTGATTAATGGATATGTGGTATTTTGCTGTGGATTCTGTTGAATTGGTGGATTGTAATTGATAATTTTCTGAAATCTATGTGCATTTGGCTGTGATTGGGACAATTTTGATCTTGAAGTGAAACCCAATTTTTGTGCTAATTTGATCTTTTTCCGGAAGTTCTGACATTACAGGCTTGTTCTGGAGAAATAAATCATTATATTGAATTGTTTATTTGCTTTAATTGATGAGTGCCTGGCCATAGTTGTGAGTTTTGTTTGAATGGGTTCACTACTTGGTAATGTACTAGACTTCGTTTGGATTGATAGGGTTCTGAGCTTATGTCATTGGATTTTGTTTGTGACTTTCCCGCTATTGAAGAAAATTATACTGGTACTCTCCTGCTCGTGAAACCTAAAATTTGATTCTTGGGTTTCAGGTAACTGATTCAGGGTTTATATGTTCATTCTTGACAGTTATTGAGTTTTTTGTTAGCTCTTGTGGTTATTCTCTTATTCATGCGTTTCAGTAATCCCTTGTACTTTATTTTTTAAAAAAAAATGATGCGGTCATAGGATTATGAATTCTAGCATACCTTACTAGGAGTGTTGTTTGGTGGATTCTTGCATTGCATCATGAACTAATGAATTTCAAAGATTTAACACTGGTTATGACCTCGTCGACTAGGTGGATTAGTTTCATTAGCACATGTGCACATAATGAATTTGGAATGGCTTCACCTCCAAGAATATGGTTGTATGTCTTGATTATGGTTCTATGCAGAGACGACCCAAGTAATTAGGCCAAATAATTAAAAAGACCAAAAGCCTGGGATGTCTTTAGTTGGAAAGGTGGTTTAATATTATAACCCAGTTTGTTCTTTGTTAAGGTATTAGGAGAGGTGGATGGGGTAAATGCATATCCTTTTGCATTATTTGAACAACGTGACTGCCCTTATATTCTATCCCATACCCAATTGCTTGTCGGAACATTAAGCCATAGCACTATGTAATTACGTACCCCGTTGTAAAGTTGGAGCCATGCTGAAATTTATCCATTTTCAACTTCGGAACCACCAGCGAAGGTAACATTCAGATTCTTTTCTTTCTTGTTCATGTGTCTGACATTTCTTAGAATTCCAGTGACATAAGATCAATATAATTGGGAAGTTTCTTTATGACATTCGGATTGGCTCATGAAGAACCAAAGAAATTCCTAGGAAAAATTACAATTAGGACATACTTTCAACTATGAAGCATGGATATTTCGTAAATCTCAACGTATCCATATCAGATACCTGTCAGGTACAATACTCATCAGATACTCGAAAATACGTATCAGATAAACACCAAATGTATCCAATAATAAATAAAATATACGGACACTTTACGAATATTTTTATATGCGAAGAAGTATGTGTAATTTTAGTTTTAATCTCTACCATTTCCATTTGATTTCACGTACAATACAATACATCAACAAAAATTCATATGATTTTGAAGACACATGAGAGTTTTCTAAGTATTATACATTATCACATGTTCAAATAGTATAAATGAGTTAATTACTCTATAGTCTTAATAACAAATACTTCTAAGCAAACAATTTAGTTAAATGTTAGTTCTTATTTCTTTAATTAATCACGTTCACTCTGTAGATGTACTATAATAAGACGATCGGTAACATTTAAAAATAAAAATTATTGATGTTGTTTATTATTGTTAAAGAATTACTAAAAATTATAGCTATCAACTCATTATATAATAGTATAAATATAAAATATATATATTTATAGACGCATCTTGACTGTACCCATATCCTATTTTTTTGGAATTTGGTCGTATCGTCGTATCCGTATCGTACCCATATCTTGTATACGTATCCGTGGTTCCTTAACTTTCAGCTATTTGAGAAGATGAAAACTATTTTCGCCTTATCCCTTAAAACAGAGAAAAGAACTATCTCCCTTGTTCCTGTAGCCACCAATAGCATACTGACTGAAGCCATTTAGTTAACCTATTGCGACATACATAGGTTTTTTAAGGGTGAGGGTTTTATGTGTGTTTTGCTTTATGCCCATTTTTTAAAACTTTATAAACTCGTTGGAGTCCATATCAAGGTCTTATCCCTAAGTTGATTGGTTTATGCATAATATTTAGTATTAGGTTTAAAAATTGGGGCATGATGAGTGAATGTGATTGGTGCCAAACTGCCAATTCTGGTCAGAGAAATACTACTACGAGAATTTTGCGGCAAGCCTTGTAACTTCTTGACATAAAATGAATTGTAGTAAAAAGTCACATGGCCTTAAAAAAGATTACTGCTTGTGACCATCTTGTCAAGGAACCTCCATCTAAGAATACAGAGCAACACCAAAAGTAGATTCCCTCAATTTACAACATGATTATGTGGGTTGAGACATATACCCTAAAGGATGCTTTATATACAGAAAGCAGTATTTGTCCCTTTTATGGAATCATTTCTAAAAGTGATTTTTTTTTCTTTTTTGTAGATACCTTGCCCCCTGAATCATTTTATAAGTTTCTTTGCATTCAAAAAATATGGGGACAAACTTGCATTGATTGTGATAGCTCAAACAAAAATGTGCGGTGGAAATGGTTTTCTGATGTAATCCAGGAGTTAAATGCTTCTATTGTAAATAGATTCGAACCCTTTGTTTTATCTGTTTCTTAGCTTTGGAAGATAAGAGGTGCAAATGTGAATTTGTTATGCAATTTAGAACCTCTTAATAAAAGGAGGGCTCAAACATAAAGCTATTTTCTAACTAGTATGCTTCTGAAACTTATTATATGCTATGGCTGTTGGAGCACGAAATAATTCTTGTAGTTGGGTGCTTAGAAAGTTGTTGTGTTGGTTCTATATTCTTTCTTGTAATTGCTGTAAAACTGGAATTGGTGGATGAGCTTAAAATCTTTAAGCTGTGGTATTTTCTATCATTCATCATGCCATTCCAGGTGAGCAGCAATGAACTTTTCACACATTCTGCAGGTGTACGAGTGGATGAACAACAGAGGGGAGAGGTTTAAAATATCCACTAGTGACGCTGCAATTCAGTTAGATCTAATTGCCAAAGTGCATGGAATTTCAAGTGCTGAAGATTACTTCATGAAGTTGCCAGGTGCCTTAAAGGACAAACGGACATATGGGTCTCTTTTGAATGCATATGTGCGCGCCAGAATGAGAGACAAGGCTGAATATTTAATTGATCAAATGAGAAATAGAGATTATGCCAGCCATGCCCTTCCGTTCAATGTGATGATGACTCTCTACATGAACCTAAAAGATTATGATAAAGTTGACACAATGGTTCAGGAGATGATGGAGAAAAATATACCATTAGACATATATACCTACAACATCTGGTTATCATCCCGTGGATCCCAAGGATCTGCAGAAGAGATGGAACAAGTTTTCGAACAGATGAAGCTGGACAGGACCATTAACCCCAACTGGACTACATTCAGCACAATGGCCACAATATACATTAAGCATGGGCAACTAGAAAAAGCCAAAGACTGTTTAAAGAACATTGAGAGCAGAATCACTGGTCGGGATCGAATGCCTTATCATTATCTTATTAGTCATTATGGTACTATTGGTAACAAGGGGGAGGTTAACCGGATGTGGAACCTTTACAAATCAACTTTTCCCTATGTTCCAAATTTGGGATACCATGCTGTGATCTCTTCTTTCATTAGGCTGGGTGATATTGAAGTGGCAGAAAAGATTTATGAGGAATGGCTGTCAATTAAGAATGCATATGACCCTAGAATAGGAAATCTACTGTTGGGTTTGTATGTTAGGAATGGATTTTTGGAGAAAGCTGAGGCCTTCTTTAACCAAATGGTTGAAGTGGGAGGAAAACCGAATTCAAGCACATGGGAGATTTTGTCAGAAAGCCGTATCAGAGAGGGTATGATTTCTGAGGCTTTGTCTTGCTTAAAAAAGGCCATTTCAGCGGAGGGACCAAAGAACTGGAGACCAAAGCCTGTAAATGTGTCTTCCATTCTCAAGCTCTGCGAGCAAGATGCTGATATGGTGAGTAAGGAGGATTTGTTTGGGCTGTTGAGACAACTGGGCTGCCTTGAAGATGAAGCTTATATGTCATGTATCCCCGGGTCTAATGGGATGGCCACTGGCAATCAACTGCCAATGGAAAAAGGTAGAACTGATGATGACGATGGTGATAATGATGATGAGGATGCTAAAATGCTCCTCAACCAACTGCAAGGAAGCTTGTGAGGACTTGCTTCTTTCCACATGCCAAGTATCTAACAAAATGAGCACAATGCATGGGGAGCTCTTTGCCTGAGTGGGAGTTTTACTTCTCAAATGACTTCTCGTCATTTTCTTGAGGTAAATTATCGACTGCTATAGTTTCTGTGGCTCCAAATGATCGTCAGGGGGATGAAATCTGGATTCTCGTTGTGGTCACATCTTTCTGTGACTTGTGCTCAATGAAGCTTGTATTCTATTTCCTCGTGTGAATGAACCCATATCGCCTGTTCTTTGGCTTATGCGAATTTTTTATACCATCTTCATTGCTTATGGGCCAACTCCAACCCACAGAAGCTCATGTGTTATAGGTTTACTCACAGAACCGCATGATTTATCATTAGTGATAGGTTCAAATCTGCAGTGGCTTCCCTTACAATATTTTTCAACTTACTATCAACGGATTATCTCTAGTTGAATTATGAAGGCAGAAGCCCCGGTTGCTTCTGAATTACACTTCATTCATCATTTTAAATTTTAATGCACTCTTTTTTTTTTTGTTGCATTGCATCCAACTTCCTCAAGTTCAATGCTTGTCTTGTCCTCACGCCTTACTTCTTATTTATCTAACAGTGTCAGCCCTTGTTGATACATTGTGTACACTGTTTTTGGTTCTTACTTCTTAGGTGTTCTTGTATGGGTTTCTACCCCATCCATAGAATTACATGATAATAGACTTGTTATGATTCGCAGCACCCCTGTTGGGCAGGTACAGATGCAGCAATTAAATTCGACATCGGGACGCCTTTGACCTGTAGAGATGGTGATATGACATGATTTCATTGTTTATGCCTGGAACTTTAGGTTCATTAATCTTTCCTGGTAGGGGTCTACCGGTACTTAAAATCTTGTACTTAGGCTAGGATATAAGAGGACCAAGATGAAGCCATATGGGTTGGTTGTTCTGGTTTTCATTTCCTTCTGTTTTTTACTACTATTATATGCATGTCTATGTATTACTGTGACCAGCATTCAGTAAACCTGGTTAAAAACTCCAATATAGTCCAACCCAAATCAAATTTAGTAGTAATGCTCGTGGATTTAGGAATTACCTGCTGTCTTTTTGCATTAGTTAAAGTTTGAAAAATGACTATCTTTCATAAGTTTTATTATCAATATTGTCAACAATGTCAAATATTTGCTCTTTTCTTTCCGTAATAAATCAATACACAATAACTAATAACACTAAAGCATCCATCGCTTCAATAATATATATTTCTGAATTTGATTTTCTTAGTCATTCCCCTCATCGAATAGAGGTAGTGACACCCAAATGCCTCACGAAATAAACAGGCGAAAACGGACCCAATATCAAATCACCATACATGCATCCTTGCAAATTTCCCCACATGATTAAAAGGGGCATAGAAAGGAGTTGGGCCAACAGTCGATCTTAAAACGAAGCTTCCTTGATGGCATTCTCAGTCATTTCCTGAGCAAAGCAATCATTAGTCGGTACAAAAAAAATTCTGTAGTAGCTAAATCATGAGGAATATAGAACATACCCATGATCAATTCCGTAAAACCGATCTCTTTAAGCTCAGACATGTAGACCATTTGAGTGTGTAGTTCAAACATATGCTCCAGGAAGCAGTAAACAGGGGCACTTTAGACATGATTCTCCTGGACATGCCTTTTCTGATCCCTTTCTGAATGACCAAGCCTCCCCAACCTGCTTCGATCTTCTGGAAAATCACGGTGATTAAGGTGGTGGGATGCTGGCATATGATCATGCCGCTGCTTTCCCTCCACCGGGCTACTAGCTTTCCTTTTGCGGTTACTGGACTTTGGTGAGCGATATCCCCTGTCAGCATCGTCAAGCGCTTCCACTTCTCCTTCTTCCACATTGCCCAAATCTTGTCCGCGTGATGCCTGCCCTTTCATTCCTTGGTGCCCATCTCCAACCTCAGCTTGATGCTTCACATTATGTGCATTTTCCTGATCCGTTCGGTTCAAATGTTTGGACCAGCCTTGCTTTCTTTCCCTCTTGATTTTCTCACTCTCGGCAGCCAATTCGATTCCATCTTCCAGTTCCCTCTCAATGAGATCATCATCGTCCATGAAGTCTGTTTTCCTAGTTATGTCGCCACGGGACTTCTTTCGTTTCTCAAGTGCTGCTTTTACCTTGTCTTTGTCAATCTTCTTAATAGCTTCTTGAGGTGACTGGCCAAGTGTACCATCTTTATGTTCCAGAGTTCGACCATGGTATTTGTCTTTCAATTCACCTGTTTCCCTTGTCCCAATCCTCCCAGCATTCCTTTCTGCATCTTCATGGTCATGTCCCTCAGAACCAAACATTGATGAATTCTGGACGTCCCCCAAGTTCCCCTGGCGAGGTAATGCCTCTGGTTCATGGTGATGATTGTCCTTAATCTCACCAGCTCCCTTGTGGTCTAAAACACTATTCATCTCTGTGCTTCCGTACTCATTATTTCGGTTTTGAACCCCCCTTGGGGGCGCACCAAGATTGTCGGCATATGAATGATCAGGAAGTGGCCGAACTGATGCCGGCTTCAAGGTTCCTGCCTTGGAAATAGTTCCCCCACCCTGAGGATTACCATGATTTGTAACATTCTCATCATTGGCAGAAGGAGCATTTGAGGGAGCCCGTGGAGTACCCCCAGCACTTCCCTCAGCTTCACTCACTTGAGAAGGTGGCACTCTATTTTGTTCATACAATTCTAGCATTTGATTGCTAACCTCTGCAAGGAATAAAAGATTAAAGTAAGAAAAGAAACATCAAAGATATCCACATTTTATTTCATAGCCACGCAATTACCCCTCAGTTAAATCATCTCTAATCACACCAACAACAATATGTAGAAACATTTTCCATGTATTAAGATTTAGTCCAATAAAATTAGAAGGGTGGCTGGCTCTATCCAATACCAGTGGTGTACAACTCTTCTATTCAAGGGAAGGCAAGACACCCACCCTCCAATTGGCGTGGGGTGACATCAAACTCCTGCCACCAGACCTTCTCGCCATCAGAAGGGAGCTTTACTTTGAGGAACTTCGCAGCAAGAAAAATGGCACCTGCTGCTATGTGATGGGGCTTAAATTGCAAGCATAGAGAGGTCCGAAGCCTGCATGGTACTTTCCCCGGTCAAAAAGAGACAAGGAAGAATGACCATGGATGGGCACTATGTAAAACTATGATAAGCAATCTATCATACCCATCATTCACAAAATTCCATGCAACTTGGGCAAGGGCATTTTGAGCAACCTTGAATTTCTTTATTGCCTCAACAAGGGGTTTATATGGATGATGCACATTAAGATCAAAACCAAGAGTTGCAAGTACAACTCTCTCCCCAAGCAAAATCAGTTCTTTTTGCTGTTCATATACCTCCTGCATGATGGATGTAGAAACATCAAATATTTGTAGTGTAAACAACTAATACTTCCAATAGATGTTTCAAAGTCTCTTTAGGAAATAAAGCAGTACTTAGGAAAAGACCAGTCACGACTATCATTTAACTACATGCTTATTTGACATTATTTAATAGCCTTGTCAACAAGTAGAAGCGCATAGTATAACCTGCCAACACAATTACAATACCTTTTGCTTGATCCTTTGTACTGCTGCAGGATCCTTCTTATGGATAATTTCATACGAAACAAGTATAACATCTTTCAAAGGACGTGGAGTTTCTTCAACTTTCCCCGCAAGAAACATGCAAACAGTCGCAATGGTCTGCAAAACATTTTTAGAGAAGTTAGGAATCACATTCAATAATTCTGCTCAAAGCAAAATCTTAGAAGGGTTTTTTATTGTTGTTTATGTTATTTTATTTTTGTGTAAACCTTCATCTGGTGAGTGCAAGATATATAAAAACATAGTGATACACTTGTCCTTCCCAATTTCAACACTCATCAAGGCCACAGGTAGAATGAGAGATGGCTAGTGTAGACAAAAATTGGTTCGCTACTTACAAAACAAAATCATGATACGAAAATGCAATGATGTCGAAGAAAGCTCGGAGCAACACAAAACATCTCCAGCCTTTCATCTTTGAAGCCCTAATCATAGTTTGTGGTATCATTCATGAAGCAAGGCAAAACAACTGAAAATGACATTTCCAAAAAATGGTTTGTAGCATGAGCATCAAAAAGAAATAGTTTTTATCTCTTTTAAGCTATTAACTTATAGAACAAATCTCCGGATCATTTCCTCCAATTGATTCTTCCTCTATTCTCTTCGTGGATTACAATCATTTCACATGTTGCAAATCTGATTTTTGTTCTTATTCTTGTTTGGTGCAACATACACAGGATTTGGTATATGGAACACATAAATAAAATTTTGAGACCATATTCTGTTAAATTTCTCATCTACACAAACTCCAATTTCAGCTAAAATTATTCAAATAGACTGTCAAATGCTTATCAGTTGCATATCTTTGCATTCAAAATTACTAAATGAAAATGGTCCATAAAAGGGTATGGGAGATGAAGTGATCTTCAAGGAAGTACAGAAATGGAAAAATGTGGTGGTTTGCATTAGGTAAAGCTTGTTTCATCCTTGCAAGTTGGAATGAAATCCAGAGTGCTTTGCCCTAGGCTGTGTTTTTAAGTTAATTTTGAATGCTTTCCAGACTGATAAAGCTGTTTTCTTTTGTAAAAATGGTGAAGAGGTGGATGAATTTTGCAGGCACAAAGATTGTGTTCTTGAAGAATCAATTAGGGTGAAGTTATAAAAGCCATGTCTCAAATCAAATAAGGGAAGTAGCAAAGTCTTGTTTCTTGGTGGATGGATCGAGGTTGAAGGATTACCGTTTAATCCGTGGTAGTGAGAAGCTTTTTAAAAGATTTGGGATTGGGTAATAGAAGAGTCATAGTTTAGTTTCCCGGACTTTCTCCCTTCTTGACTAGACGATGGGGGCCTCATTGAGGTTGATCATCAGACTAAGAATCACAAGAATTTGAACCAGTCAAGCATTTGAGTCTATAAACCAGCTTTTGGTTTCCTTTGTATTGCATTGAATGTCTATTTTAATGGGCTAAGTCTTCCACATCAAAACTAGATTTTTTCAAACTTGGGGAGGCTTAGTCGGGAAGAACACGAAAAGATATTTGGTAGTGGTGGTACTACAAATCGGTACACTGGTTGAAAGGTAGAGGATGGAGGGAGGAGTTTAGTTGGAGTATGCGGTAGAAGGGGAGGAAAAGTGGTATGAAATAAATGTGCACCTTTGAATAATAAGAGGGAGATGTAAACGGTTATGGTTTTAGAAAATCAGTCCATTAATCACATAATTGTTGTTGCATCCAAAGAAATCGGATCAAACCCACCCCTTAAAAGATCCATGCTCCTCGTCAGGAACAGAGAAGCCCTTTGATGGTGATGTTCTGTCTTCTTGTTGGGAAGAGAGTTTGCATCCCACATCGAATGATTAAAATCACCCAGAATTGGTTTATATGTTTAAGGGCCTCTACTCATTATCAATTGATTTTGAGTTGTATGCTCTAAAATGGTATCAGAGTTGAGCCTTTGCTTGGTTAGTGTCAAGTCTCTTTACCTTTTTTGCAATTTCCAATACGCATGTTTGTCTATTTGTTGGTTAACCCCACGTACAAACCTAGATCCCACGTGGGGGATGGTGTAAAAAGAGCTTATATTCCACATAGAATTATTAGAATCACCCAAAGTTAGTTTCAATGCTTAAAGACTTCCTCCTCATTGGCAATTGGTTTTGAGTTGGATGCTTTGCCACTTGTCTCATGGGTGAAGGCAGCGAGCGTGTCGCACCTGTTAAAGGAGATGTGCATAAGGCACCAATGAAATCAGTATTTGCAAATAATGCTACTGTCTGGGGTTGAGATGATTGTGATGATGGTGGTTTTGAGTTTGTGAGAAGGGATCTGAGACAACTTTGATGTCGATGACGGATATGGGATTGAGAGGGTTTCAGTAGAGTTCCCTGATGGAGGTGGAGGAAGGCTATGTTGATGTGAATTCAAGTTATATTGCACTCTGATGACATCAATATCACTGCCAGCATTTCGGATTAGGATCAGATTATGTTTACAATGGGTAGAAACTTTAGATTGAAAGCCAGAAGTGGACATTAGTGATACTCGAAAGCTGTTTGATACAAATGATGCTCGTAGAGAGGATTTCAAATTTCAATGATAAAAATGGAGCTCCTGTGAGATATGTTCATCAAGGGGTAAGTCTTTCCCCTTAGTTGATTCCTAATGCACACCCTTTGCATTTCAGGTAAGCACTATCAACAAGTGTCTTCAGTGGGAATTATCTCTGAGAAGGGTATGTTTTCTTTGGTGCATAATGTGGAACCAAAGCCACGAGGAGGCCTCTCTGGATAATTTTGGGGGTCGTCAATCCTCCTATAGGTTAGGAAATTCTCTCTCTAGTCCTAGGAAAGAATTCCAGTCAGTCTTGTGAACATGAACTTTAAGGGAGCGGATTGGAGTCCCCTAAGAAGTGCAGTTATTAGGGTATTAGAGAATGTCCTGAGTCAGACCTGTTAGCTAAACCGATATTAATTTCCAATGAGCAGAATTTGTATCTTGATAATAGAGATTCCATTATTAATTCTTCTCCTAGTAACTTACAGGCTATATCCAACAAGGCCATATAGTCTTGTACAAGGGAGTTGGGAGTAGTTGAGTCCAGAGGTGGGAGGAGGGTGGGGACAATTCTGAAGGTGATGACAAGTTTTTCTACGTATGATGAAGAGAAGTGGATTACTCTTAAGAAAATATCCTTTGTTTCCACTAAAATGATGAGAAGGTTAAGGGGAATTTTTTTTTTTTGCTCAAGACTTAAAATTTTTTCATTTTGTGGTCAACTATGATGGTGGGGTACTACAAAGGTGGATGAGGGAGTTTTAATTTGTTATGAAGATTGTTAACTGAAATATTAGGGGACTAGTAAGAAAGGTGTCAATAAAAGAGTTTCTTTTGCAAAATGGGCCGAATACTATTATTTTGTAGGAATCTCAGCTAGAGGCAGTTGATAGGAGATTGAATAAAAGTGTGTGGGGCTTTAAGTTTGAGAATTGGGTTGTGTTACCTTTTGTGAGTAGTTGAGAATACAGGGTCGAGCAAGTGGAAGAATCTGTTGAAGGAGAATTAACAATTTTAATTCAAGTCAAACATGGGGATGGGCTAGAGTGGTGATTAACTGGTGTATGTGGACCTAATAAACCTAGGATACAGATGTTGTGGTGGGAAGAGTTGGCAGGTTGGTTTGGTATGTGTTAGTCCTCGTTGGTGTCTAGATGGGGATTTTAATGTCATTCGATTATCCTTCAGAGATGATATATGGAGAGAGGATTACTAGAAGCATGAGGAATTTTGATTCTTTTATTGAGAAAACTACACAATGGTGCTTTTCCATGGTCTAAGAAGCATGGCTGGTTTCAAGTCCTTTGGATGTGGTATATTATGGTTACCAGCATTATCCATCCAGAACATTATATTCAAATTCCATCCACCAGTATCATTATATTCAAATTCCATCCGACCAGTATTTTCCCATCCATTGGTTAGCTAGATGCCAGTATTCTCAGAAACATACTATGTGGTCATCATCCTTGTCAGAACTTAGAGAAAAATACAGATTATTAGGGTTCCTACTTGACCACAAAAAAAAAAAAAAATTAAACTTCAAGAGAAACAAGGATAACTTACCCTCCTATCATTCTTTCCATGGGATTGACGAAGGAAGAAACGATGACAAAAAATTATTGCCGTAGCAATGGTTACTTGGGGCCTGCATTTTAACATATGCACCTTCAAATCAATGGTCAATCAAAATCGTTATTCTTCAACCACAATCCAGGCACAACATAGTATCAACAGGAAGAAATATATAGCTAAAATTGGACAGACCATGTGGCTAATCATGAACTGCATGACTACCATCAGACTTCAGTGCAATAGACCTGAATCTTTTCAGAGCTTTAAGCACCGAAAACAGCAAGAATAGACATGAAAACCTCAAAGGAGGATTGACACAATAACATTTAAATTTCAATGTGAAACACCAAAGCCCTCCACTGTCAATGTCCACCTCAACTTGCAGCATTAACTTTGATATATCCTTATACAGAGGTAGGGGATTTTAAATGCACTAAATCAGTCAAATTTCTCAAAAAGAAAAAACTAACATGGAAGTCTTAAAGCAGATGGGAGGTCGCAGAGACTTCAGAAAACATCAGGTGGTCAATGATATCAGGAGAGGTTTTGATAGTTAGCCAAATGATTAGTGATACCCAAGTAGCAAATAGAAAAAAAAATTGAAAAAAAAAATGCAAAACAACTAGATGAGGTATAGAACCATGGATGTATCATACTATCATTTGTCATGTATGTAGCAAGGATCAAAATTTCGTTTCGCTGCATTTTTTCAATCATATAAAAAATGGAAACATCTTAGAAACATTTTCAGTAATGTTTAGAAAATAAAATGCAAAAATAGAAAAGTTAGAAAATTGGTTTCCGAAACATTGGTCAAAACATACCGATATATCCTAAAAAACCTCGAAACATAAGAATTTCGATATTCAATCACTCATTCGTTCCGTATTATGGAAACAAAAACGTTTTGGCCATTTCAAAGCGAAATTTGATCCTTGGTGTAAACTGCTAGACAAAGGAAATCGTGTAAGAAATGATAGTCACTCCAGCATGACCTTTTGCTTTCATGTCAAAACAAACTTATGCAAGTAATACAGAAATGTAGTCGTTAACTCCAATTTCAACGTAGATAGAGGTAAATGTACAAGAAGTTCTTGAGACTGCTAAACCTCTAGATGTCAAGAGACAAGTATCAAATACATTGTTTCAAGGCATCACTAAATTTAAGGCACAGAATCAGATCACAATACGACCTTTTGTGGTCAATTTTCTCTCAGATTTTCCTCCAAGGCAGATATTCGAAGAACAACTACTCCAATAGCTTTTATATATGCTCTAAACTATCATGATTGCTAGAAGAACTCTGAGACCACACGATGCACAGACTTTTTTTAACAAGAACAATCTGTTTTATTGACAAAGAGACAATACATAAGAAAGAAATAAAGAAAGAGATAAGGGTGGACAATTGGTCGGACCCAGGGAAAGAATAACCACAAGCAAACATCAAAAAGTAGGGGGATGCATTGATTGAACAGGAGAAATAGCCTATGGCTATGAGTCTTTATTCTCATTATGTTGGGCATTGCATTGCATTACTATGATTAATCCTATGCCTTCTAATACCTAACTATTCTGTTTCAGGTGTAACAAATCTAAAGTGGGGCCTTTGGGTTTTTAAGTATTTGAATGGAGTGTGACAAATAAGGAATATGTACTTATGGTACATTTAGGAGTGAGATAAAGTCACCTGCTGCAACTTCTCCCCAAATAACTAATAACTATGAGGGCCTATTTAGTTAAACCTTCAAATACACCAATATATAACTTTTCTTCAAGTATGATTCTGCAGAGCTAATGTAGATGGACCGACTATTTGAAGAAAATATGAAGTTCACAGTAATAACATGGAATGAATTTAAAAAAGCACAAGAAGCCGTTTGAAAAACAATAAGAACTTGGGTAAATTTCACCAACACCCCTGCGACATTTGACCAAATAACACGGACACCCCATGACATTACATAAATGACATGGCGATCCCCTGACATTTATAACTTACAACAGAAACTCCCTGCCTGTAACAGATATTAGAAACCCTAGCTGAACATGATGACATTAGCAAAATAATGCACTATATTCCCAAAATTGCCTTCATTGAAATTAACTAGGTCAAAATTAAAAAACAAAACAGGCATTAATTTAGGTCCAAACCCATGCCCAAACCTAATCCGCATTTGACCCATTTCTTGGATCCAAACCTCGCTATCGCATATGTCAAGGCTCACCTCATTGGTAAATCAGGTAGCTAAACTTATTATTGACTTACGAAAATCCATCTTCTCTGGCAGTCCCCTTCACTCTCTCTCCCAGCCAAACAACCCCCCATCCAACCCTCCCTCCCCAAATGCTACCACGCAATCCTTTGCCTCCGCTCAGCCCCTTTCTACCGCCACCCCTAAAAAGCACAGCTCCCCAACCCGAGTACCCCCACCCCCGCATGAGTCGTCCCCTCTCGTCCTCCCTCCCCTCTCCCTTTCTCTCTCTCTCCAGACATCTCTCTCTCACACACATAATCACACTCACTTCCACATATACACCCACACACACTCACTTTTGCAGATTCACACACAGACATACGCATCTAGAAAGGAGGCTATGGTACTGATTTTGCGTAGATTTAGATTAGTTTGGTTTAGTGTAGATTAGATTTAATTTTGCATTTAGTTGCAGTTTTGGAGAGAGAAAAGAGAAGATGATCTAGGTATAGATCTGAAGCCACAAACAGGTTTTGAAGCCATCAATCACCAACCACCCACCACATATATAGGCCAAAAACACCAAGTCAGCACTCAAACACTTATGAACCAACAACCACAAATCAGACTACATCTGAAGTGAAACCTGAGGCAGCGAAATCGGATAGATTAACTGCAACCACCCACTGCAAACTGCAAGATAAGGCATTTTTCACCTTCGGTGCAAAGATTAAAACCAAGCTTGGACTCAAGTTGTTCTTTTGCATTAAGAATGAGCTTTTACTTCTTCGAAATCCTCGTGTCTCTACTGTCTCGCCTTCAATTTACTTTGTTCATTGTTTTGTTAAAAGCTTTGAGATTTAGATGGAGATCGAGTTTTGGTATAAAGGAGAGGAGTGCCACAGGAGAGGCGAATGAGAAAGGGGAGGGAAGGGAGTGACGAACCAGACAGCTAGGGTTTTGGGGTTGGTTCTGTGTGAATGTTGTGTTTGTGCTGATTTTGTGTGATTGTTGTTCTGGTTCTGGTGGCGCTGTGCCGCAGAGTGTTGTTCTGTTTCTGGCAGTGCTGTGGTGGCAGGTGTTGTGTTGGTGCTTGGTGTCGTTGGAGTTGGTGGTGGTGGTGGTGGTGGAGATTGTGGTGGCTTTGGTGGTGGTAAAGATGTTAGGGTGGTGGTTGTTGATGGTCGTAGAGAGAGAAATTAAGGTCTTTTGTAATGGGTCATGGTTTGGGGGAATTGCCAATGGGTTTGTAATATTTTTATTTATTTTATAGACCTTTTTTTTATTTGAATTATCCTGTTTTTTCTAAAATCAGTTGGAAGTTTAAAAAAGTAATTGTATCATGTCCGTTAATGGCAATCACCTTTTAAAGCCGACAAGGGGTTGTCGTGTCAATTATGTAATGTCAGCGGGTATCGTGTTATTTGGTCAAATGTTAGGGGTATGGGTGAAATTTACCCTAAGAACTTTTACTTGGTCAACTCAACAAAAATGGTGCCAAACAAACATCTTCATGCTGACTGCTGAAAACTGCAGTTGCTTCTTCATTGATGCATGGGTGCGTGAATGTGATTTTACATGCATATGTGCAGAAAAAAGTATCCAACCTCTCTAGAGAATAGTTCATTTCATGTGAGAGAGAGAGAGAAAATAAACATCATTCAAAAACAAAAAAAAAGGGGGAAAGCAAGATAAAGGTCAATCTTTGTCGCACAATTCTCATCTTACTTGGCCATGTGTCAACATGGCAACCCAATATTGGATTAAACCCTTGTCAACTTGTTTGACCATATGTCTAAATTCTAAACCACCAAATCTTTTTGTGGTAACAGCAACCAAGAAGAACGGGTGGCTTTGGAAAACCGAGCAAATCTCACGTGACAGCTTAGTCGAGCCCAAATCAAAGGAATTGATCTCATTTTACAAATATTTAATAAAATGTTTGTTAAGGTGCAAGTGCTTGCATGGACTATAGTTGCACAGGAAAAGATCTCATGCTTATCTCTCCCCTCGACAGTGTGTCGTGTAGGAGCTCCAGGGAAATTATTGATCATCTATTTCTTCACTATTCCATGGTGTTATATATGTTGCATAAGATTCTTACGGAGATGCTATCAGCTTGGATTATTCAAAGTGCTTGTGTTTCCTAACTTGTAGAATGTTTTGATTGTTTTGGAAAGGTAAATGTACTTTTACACTTTTAAGGTTGGGTTGTTACAGTGTTATTTAAAGCGTAAAGTGAACCGAAGCGACCAAGACTCCTAACGCCTAGGCGAGAAGTAAGAAGCGAAGCGACACGCTTTATCGAAGCGAAGCGAACAGTTAAAAAAAAAATATATTTTAGTTTAATTACTTCTAAACAATCTAAGTTCTAATTTTATATATACTAAATATTTAAATGCAAGTAAAACCATAAATATTTAAATTAAAATAAACACTAATAATATCTCAAATCTTAATAACAGTCATAACTTAAACATTTAAATTCAAACAAATACTAACAATTGTATACATTTTCAAATTGACAGGGTAGGACAACAAAAGAAGCAGAATCAGAACAGCAGCAGAATCAGCAACAAAAAAAAAAGAAGCAGAATCAGGATAAAAAAAAACAGAAACAGTACAGGACAGCAAAACCGAAGTAGCAACAGAATCAACAAAAAAAAATAGAAGCAGAATGAGCTAAAAAAAAAACCGAAGCACAATGACCATGACAGGAGCAGAATCAATTGTAAACAATTTCATATGTAATTATGTACTGAATAAAAAAAACAGAACAGAGGCACATTTCACATGTACTAAAATAATTAAACATGGTATAAGCATAGACCACTTTTTGATACCATTTGTATATATATAAGAAAAGGGAAAAGTATAACCAAGACATATCAGAGACACTTCTTTGTAGAAGACTCTATTATTTACCCTCATTCCTGATACTCCTGCTTCCTTTCTTTATCATAATTTTGTCATGCAGTCGCCTGACTCCCACATCCCACAAATATTCTAAATGAATTCAGCAACACAAGGAAAAAAAAATGTATTTTGTTCAAAACATTGTTTATTAGAAAAAAAAAATAGACCAGCGATAGTCTAAAAAAAAAGTCATTAGTGATTAAAAAACAAAAGAGACTACTAACCTGTAATCAGGAAAAAAAAAAAAAAAAAAAGGGAAACAGAATCGCCTCTTATAATAAAGCATTCATTTTTTCGCTTTTTTCTCACTTTGCTCACGTTCGCTTCGCCTGGGGTCCTCCAAGCGAGATTAGCTCGCCTCGCCTCGCTTCTCGCCTAGGTGAGCTTTTCAAAACACTGGGTTGTTATGAATATTTTTAAGTGATCTGGATCTAGACATAAAGAAAAAACAGAATTATACGAAAAATTGAGCTTGAGGTTTTATGGGAAGGAGTAAAGTCATTGGCATCTCTGTGGGTTGCTATTTTACTTCCAATGAGTTTCAGGATATCCCTTTCTTTTCGATCCATCATTTGAATTGTGGGTTGCAGTTAAAGGAGTTTTTATTCTAATTTTTAGCCTTTTTCCATTTGTATCTTGATTGGATCTCATGTCCAACTACTCATATTCTTTTCCATTCTTAGTTAATGTTCTTGTTTCTTATCAGAAATAAATGATAAATACCAAACATTGGCAATTATGGAATGTTACTAAAGGCGAAATGTTAAAAGCAACCTGATTTAGCACAATTCAAGTTAAAGTCATAAAAACTTACACTTTAAGCCTCATGCCCAAATCTTGCAAGAATGTACAGTATGACTTGCGTATATAAGTCTCTTTCTTCAGATCAATGCCTTCCAGTCTAGATGGGGAACTCTCTTCAATTTCCTTCCTGGAGAAGTACCAACGGCCACCACCTTCTTCTGCATTGTCCTGAGAAAGCTTGTAAGACCCACCTTCATACACACCAGATTGTGAAGCCTCACCAGGAAATAACCCAGCCATATGTACCTCTTTCTAGAAAAGGTATGAAGTGAGGAAGCAGAAGGTTTCTCTAGTAGACACAGAAATACATCCCTATCATGCAATAACATCCTGCCCATGAATTAACATGAAAAGTAAGACATATGCGAGAGTCTTATGTCATAAAACAAGAACAAAAAGCAAAGGCATCACATGCAAACCAAAAGCATCCTAATTCGATAGAGAAAGCACAAACAGCACATCTTGTCAAATATTGTGTAACAGCATATTATACCTTGGTTTTGATTTTAACCTTCTACCCTTTCACATCCTCTAAAATAAAAACTTACCTGACCTAATGAGATTTTGGCCCACCTAATAGGTTCTTTTGTACAACAAAATTTCAAATTATAGAAAAGCACTACATAATAAGGATACAATACATATCCATCAAAGATAGTAGATACTAACACTAGCTTGGAATGCCAAGACCAAAATTAAGTTCTCTACAGCTTGGGAAGTCATTTGAGAAAGATGAATGATATAAAACATTTTCACACTAATCTGGGTCCGGTCTCACCATGGTTGAGTATCACTAAAATTAGCTATTAATAGGAAGGCTCTTAGGCACATCCATTCATAAAGAAGCCTACATAGAATCATGGACTAAAATATACAGAACTTGTGATTTTCTTTTGCATCTAATCTCTTGCAAAAGTGCATTCTTAATCACACTGAATAATTCAAACGTGATGCCAACAAATAACAAAACAGCTGATAAAAGAAAGGCCAATACAGAGTTATATTCTTAGTGAATCATAACAATTTGAAGGACAATGTCAACTGAGAGTCCTCGAATCTTGTTGGAAATCCAAGGGTTGCTGTTCTCAATGAATTTTGTGGTAATGAAAAACCCTAGAAATGTAATGCAAATCAGGGATACAAAGAGATCTAATACTTTTAAGACTGTGTTCAACATAGTAGTTGGTGTGCTTTGCGGGACCTATCAATGCTGGAGCATTTGGCATGATCAAAGTCTCTAGGCCAAAAATATACATATATATATATATATATATATATATATATACCACTTTCATTTGTAATGGCACCACTTTTTCTTTATTCAGAATAGGTTTGACAATCAATCTTCATCTTCTGCATTTAGACAAAAGGACAAATCCATGAACTATTATCATATTCAAGTCTTCAATTGATAAAGGATGGAAAAAGGAGAACAATCTTCAATCCATTTTCACCGAAAAATAAACAACAAAATGTGCAAAAGAATGGTCGGATGTTGGGCTGCCAGCACTGCCAAAAAAAAAGAGCAGACAAAAAATATTAAAAATAGAAAAAAAGAAAAGAAAAGACAAACAAAAAGGAAAAAAAGCATACCCTATAAAACTTTTTCCATTAATGGAAGCCTATTTGAACACCAACTAGAATAGTGTATTGCCTTCTGATATTTGATTTTTACTTTTTAAATTTTTTGTTATTTCTTTTCTAGAGGATTGCTCATAAGGATGGTAAAAGATCCGAGCTACCCATATTTGGCTCGGGCTTGACTAAATTTTTGGCTTGTTCAAGGTAATTCGTATCACTATATGAGCCGAATATGAACAAAAATTTAGGAAACAAGCCAAGAGAAGCTCGCGAGCAGCTCATATTACCATTTAATTGTTTTGAATAGTTTATTTTCCTCACCAATACTAGACATATATGCAAATAAGTAGACATTCTAAGGGTATTAAGAGAAAACCAAATAAAGAAGTTGGTATTCGTGTGGTATACCCCGTATGAAACAACAAAAAGAAGGCTGATTGACCTTGAGCCACAAACCCAACAGTTTGAAACTATCCTCTGCCCTTTTTTGACTTTACTTCATCTTCACCATCTGCTCTCTCTCTCTCTCTCTCTCACACACACACACACACACACTGAAGCATTTGTGCCCATGGGAACTGCATTGGAATTCGTGCAGAGTGGAGTCTATGACTACTCTTTGCTACTCTCCTTTGATTTGCTCCTTGTCGTTGAAGCTAAATGAGGCCACCACCACCGTTCTCGATCACCATCAACAAAGTGAATCCTCCAACTGTAAATTTCTCATTGCTCTACAGAGTTTTACAGATTTTTTAAATTCTAGGTTTAGTTTTATGTTGATTATGCCTACTCTTTGTAATTTTGTTAAAAAAATTGAGATTTAGGGTTTAATTATTGGGATTTTTTGATTGATGGCTCGTTTTCGACTCAAGCTCGGCAAGCTGAGTTTGAACAAAATTTTGAGCTCCAAAGTCAAGCTCAAGCCAAATTTGAGCCTAAACAATCACAGCCAAGTTGAGCCGAGCTTTAAAAAAAACAAACTCAAGCTGGGAAGCTCGCTCAATTAACACTCCTATTGCTCATTCATCTTGTACCAAATTTTTTATCTATATTTTTACAAGTTCTATTATTGCTTATCCATCTTGTACCAAATTTTTATCTATTTTTTTAGAAGTTCTATATTTTTAGCAACCCAACACATGGGTAGAGTTAACTCAGTGCAGCATTAGTAAACAACTTTAAGACTGCATCCCAATTTTTTGATCAGATACTATTACAGGGGAGGGGGACGACGAGGTTCCAACCCACAACCTTAAGTTTCAACAGCAAGGCTGTGGCCATTAGGCCAACTGTTAACCTCAGGAGTGCATCTCAATTGCTCACTGAGAAAATGGTTGATAGACACTAGCTCCCCAATGTTTCAGCTGCCAGACTCCCACCAAAGCACATCAAAAACCTCCGAGCTCTCTCTCACCCCCTCACACACATACATAATCCAATTCTAATCACACTTCCGGCTGCTTGGATAGATCACCAACTTCATCCCCATTCCCTAGGCTAGATCTAGCCAGCAACCCTTACATCTTTTTAACGGTGCCTCTTGTTTGTCTAAGAGTTCATTTGTGATTTGTAACCTTTAATTTTACAATATAACTATGTTTACTTCATTTCCTGATGAATTTCTAGGCAATACCATTTTATTTCCTTTTTATACATAGACAACCAAACATAATCACACCTTTTTGACTTCATTAGTTCTCTCAAATATACGCTGCATACCATAGAAACCAAAAAATTGATCTTGTGACATTTTATAAGTATAACGTGGATTCTCAACTCTGCATATGATTTCACACATACACAAACACATTCTGCCCTAACATATTATAACAATAGCATGGTCTCTCGACTATATATATACCTGTACGTATGTATGAATAAACCCCCACACTTGTTGACAGCAGTAAAATTCAAACCCCAATCGACTCTCCATTTGAATACTCGTGTTAGCAATTTACACTTTGTCACATCATCTTTTATCTCATATATATAGCATTTCAATATGTAGCATAATAATGGCCTTCTCATGAAATCATGGTTCAACCCAATGGATCAAAACAACAGAAAGAATCTAGGAAGCACGAACACTTCATTTTGAGCAGATTGTCGATATCGGACACGTCTGGGATACCAACACGCTCGGACACGTGTCGGACACATTAAAATGAATGTCTGATTTTTTTATAATTAAATTTTTTGTTCAGGACACGTTGGGACATGCTGGGCACACATTCTGAGATTTATTTTCAATCTTTTGAGAAATAATTTTATAATTAAAAGTTATTTTTATAATTTTAAAGAACCTGATAGAGATATAATGATACAGCAAAATCATAAAAATAAAAAATATATACATGCATTGTTCTTTGCTAGTTAATAATTTGTAAAATTTCTTCAAGAATTCCACTTTTTCATAGGCAAAAGTATAATCCTATCAGATTATTCCTCCAGCAATATTTTCATACACAAATACCGCAATACGTGCATTCCGTAATTTGGCACAAAAAAGGCATATTACTATTTTTGTCAGCATAAAAAGGCATCAACATAACACACACACAACCACAAGCAAGCACAAAAGTACTCCTTTTTAGTTGCATATAATACAGATAACTGATGCACGAACTACGCCCATTACTCGTCAAACCCAATTCAGTCATCACAAAACTAGTTCAAATGAAACCACAACTTTCCATAAATCCCCCAGTCAACCATCCTATTACAATCCTTCAACCTAAACAATTCCATCAAAAAAGAACCCATAACACCTGAAACCATATACGAAAACATTAATACAAAGAGAAGAAGAGATATACTAACCAGCAAGAAACTTTTTAGTCCTCTCAAAATTTCTTCTTCTTGGAATGTGTCAAAAAGAAGTTTAGGGTTTTGATGAATGACTTGGTTTAGTTGGGGCTAGGGTTTGATTTGAGGTTAAGCGCCCGATTAGTATCTATAGAATTGAGAGCAGGACTGAATCTTCGGTTGATAATGGTCAATCACACTGTTGTATCAGTGTGATTGATTGGTTGAAACCCCTCTCTCTCTCTCTCTCTCTCTCTCTCTCTCTCTCTCTCTCTCTCTCATGATACGATATATCGGCTCTCTCTCTCTCTCTCTCTCTTCTCTCTCTCGCTGGGCGGCCCTTCGGCCTTCGGGAGTCTTGTGGGGTCGGTGATGACTGAGATATAGAATGGTGGGTGAGTTCTATTATTTGGAACTATCCGATTCCTGGCCTACTGTGTTGAAATTATGCCCTAATTAAAACTTAGACCGATCCAACATTGCCCGACCCAAGAACTCCATGGGATTTTTTAAAGTAAACTACACATATGTCTCTTAAACTATAATTTTTATATCAATTAAACTCCTGATTTTTTTTGTTTGTCAATTAAGTATCTGACCTCTTTAATTGCGTCAATTGAATCTCTGAACTCTCTAATTATGTTAGTTGAACCTTTTGTATATTCTTTTTAAATTTTTTAACAGAAAGTGACAGAGTGTGACGCTACCACTTTTGTGACCAAGTCACATTTGTGGTACACCTTGCCAGAAATGACTCAATTAATACAATTAGAGAGTTTAAGGACTTAATTGATAAAATAAGAATTATAGGCTTAATTGACACAAATACCATAGTTTTAGGGATATATGTATAA